CATATAAGGGATTTGAAAAGTATCAGAATTTCTGATACTTTGGACTACCGGTCTGCAATTTTAAGTATATTTGATATAGAGAGGATTTCAAAAGTATCAGAATTTCTGATACTTTGGACTACGAGTTTCTGCAGTTTTAAGTATATTTGACATACAATGCAGAGGATTTGAAAAGTATCATGAGAATTTCTGATACTTTGGACTACCAGTCTGCAATCTTAAGTATATTTGGGATAGAGAGGATTTCAAAAGTATCAGAATTTCTGATACTTTTGACAACCAGTTTCTGCAGTTTTAAGTATAGTTCACATATAATGGATTTGAAAAGTATCAGAATTTCTGATACTTTGGACTACCAGTCTGCAATTTTAAGTATATTTGAGATAGAGAGGATTTCAAAAGTATCAGAATTTCTGATACTTTGGATTACCAATTTCTGCAGTTTTAAGTATATTTGAGATACAGAGGACTTCAAAAGTATCAGAATTTCTGATACTTTGAACTACCAGTCTCTGCACTTTTAAGTATATTTGAGATACAGACGATTGCAAAAGTATCAGAATTTCTGATACTTTGGACTAGCAGTCTCTGCAGTTTTAACTTTTAAATATATTCGAGGTATACAGGGTTTCAGAAATCGTTGGTATATTTCGGAAATCGTATATTTTAATTGGAGCATCTCATTGTCTTTAACATTTTATGCTGCTTGATAAGGTGCATCTATATTTTCGCATTTCCAAGATAATGTATTGTAATTTGCTTATTCGTAATTCTTGGTAGTCCGTATCCTCTATTTTTGCAGAAAAAAATTCAAGGTCAGCAAGATTTTTTGAAAACGATTGTTTATGTTGACGAGTTTTTCTATGGAAACAGTTTTCGCGCTTTAAGCGTGATTTTGCATCATGCTTTTTTCTCAAATATCAATCTTTTCGACTTATTTTACAGATAGTACAAGGCCATTCAAACATTTTTAAAACGTTTTTTTATATTTTGCGGAAAATTAGCACAATATCTGCAAAATGAGAGGAAAATAGCCAAAAAAATGAATTTTTGAAAATGCAAAGATAGTTTGGAACATGTTACTATCGGCATAGTTTAATTTATATATAGCGCTTGTTGAGAAAATAATAACAGAATTTAGAAGCCTTTACCTTTCATTTTCTACAAGTAATTAGCTCGTGGACTCGTCAAAATTGACTGAATCTACAAGTTTAAATGGCATAAATCGGCATTAACATTGCCAAATTGCGCAAAAAAGTGCAGAAACTGAATTATTCGATGTTCCAGTTGTTCCAGACGTTCCAGTTGTTCCAGATGTTCCATTCCATGTTTTTGACGTTGCCGTAAGCAATCGGCAACTCTACGGAAATGTACTTTAAAAACTACCAGTGGAGACCAGTGGTGGATGTTATTTTTGTTGGCGGTATACCGCTGGTCAAAAGCTAATGAATATATTTTGAGGATTGGTTGCCGGATGTAGAAAAATTCAATACACACATTTTATATTCAATACACACATTTTATATTCAATACACACATTTTATATTCAATATACACACATTGAATATTTCAGATGTTGTATTGAATATTTAACAAGGTTTTTGAATGTTTTTGGGAAGATATTGAATATATTTCGGTAAATATTGAATATAAAACGGGTTTATTGAATAAAAAATGTGTGTATTGAACATAAAATGTGTGTATTGCATATTCTAAGAGTGTACTGAATATAAAATGTGTGTATTGAATTTTGCTACAATCCGGCAACCAGAGCTCTCCGTGGTTGCGGGCGTGCCGAATGGCAATATTATCGCGTTGAGCGACCCAGGCCAGCATCTTCAAGGCGATGACAGACTGTTTGTTTTCAGGCTTGTATCCGCAAGGAGGAATGACGGCGGTGGTGTTCTCCTGCAGGAACGTTTTACGGAAGACGAGATTACAAGCATAGGCAATGGTGAGACAAGAGGCGAAAGGGTCAACATCTGTGACTTGATGGAAAAGTTGGCGGAACTCGAAACAACAACGACGCAAAATGTCCACATAGGACTGGCAGTACCGCAGAATTTTGGCTTGAAAGTCGAACTCGTCCTGATGCTGGACTTGATCGTTTTACCATTAATAAAACTTTTCGCGGTCATCGGTGCTCATGCCTTCAGGATCGTAGAACGTGGCTTCAGGCATTGGCCCCACATAGTCCTGGTTCTCAGCACGGTTAAAGAAATGAGGGAAGTAACCTTTCTGAAGCTCTGTGAGACAAACGTTTTCAGGAAGACGGCGAGTTTCATTGGATTGAAGCAAAGGAAATCGATGAATTTAATGTTAATCTCTTACACGGTGAGGGAAAGGATTTTTGCGCCACGAGTAATAATTTCTGGAGTGATACCATTCTTGTAGAGGTATTGAAGAATAAAGTACCCGTCGTAAGCCTGAAAATTAAGTGCGACATACGTCATGTTGGCGTTTTCCTGTTGAAATACCCATGTGCAGAACTCGTCTTTAGTGTTTGGGCCAGAAAAGACTTTCTTGTCATCGCTTTCGTTCTGGACTACGCAGAGATTGGGGACGTATTTACCATCATCTTGCAGGCGGTGTGTGTTACGAAAATAGACCAATCAGGAGACGCTATTCCTGGCAAGAATTTGCGCATCTACAAAGCATAAATAAGAGTGATTCACTCGCATTTCTCTTCTATTTACACGTCATTTATTCTAAAATTAAAG